GGGGGAGAGAGAGGGGGGGAGTGGGGGAGAGGGAGGGAGGGAGGGAGATCGTGACTCACGTGACGTTTTGTCTCAGGTTTCGGTGTTTCTGAAGACAGGTTCCGAGCTTAAAATTGTCCAAGGCTAAACAATCTTTACAATGCATACACCTTTACTCAAATATTCCAGTACGTTATAACTGACGTCAAGGGTTCTGAAAGATTTACATGCTGATTAAATCCCCCTTCGTCATTATGGATTTTATGTAACAAGATCCTAATTAGCATAAACGAGCGCTCGGGAGAAGGGGAACGAGTGCAGGCGTGCGGGCGCATTGGCGTGCTCGAACGAGTTTGCATTCAATCAATCATCTGCTTGCGGTGGGCAGCGATGACGGGCTGATTCAGGAAGCTCTTGCACGCAGATAATAACCTACTAACTCGATTATGATAAATCACAACCAGCCCTTTCCCCTTCATTCACGCCATTACGGGATTGCTTCTGCATTCTTAAAATTTGGTCTTCCTCCTCGACTTGGCTTCAAAATCAACTCACCCTTCCTTAAACTAAGACGAGGTGAACCCCAAGTTTATCCTGGCAATGCTCCCGAAGAAACTCGAAGCAATTACGATGCAGCATATCTTAAACACTCGAGTTGGCGGCTGGAGGTGGAGCTCGGACACAAAAGCAACATAATTTCGAAGTTGGAAGGCTTTAAAGTTCGCTCTAAAACTTCGTTGTTCTTGTAATTCACTTGAAAATGCGAGTAATATAATTTCACGTAATGGCTGCAACTCTCCCTTTCCGTTTCTTCGTTAGCATCTGCGCGGGACATCAGAGGTGTATGTGTATACACGCGTGTTTGTATGAACGTGATTTTATATTCACTTACGGCTGTGTATATATTCCCTTGTGCGTGTCCGTGTCTACCGATCCCGCTGCCTCGTGAGCGGCCAGCAAGCAGCCTCAGCCTCTCGTTCGTTGCAGTATTGAGGAAGCCATTTCGGGCGGCCGAGGCGGACCCATGCAGCGCGGGGTTGCGGGCGCCGTGTGGCCGGACGAACTTGAAGGAGAACTGTCTTGACAAGGTTACTACACCTCTCACGTTATTGATGTATTCTCCGGCCGCCCTCTCGGCCCTCCCCCTCCTCCCTACCACTCCTCGCCCTCACTAATGATGTCCCTCTCATTCTTCCGACCTTATCGCGTCTCCCGCCCCTTCCCCGCCGCCGCTAATGAAGTTCCGCTCTCCTTGGGCCTTCCTTCGACCTCCTTGGCCTCCATAATGAGGTCCGGCTCTTCTGCCTGACCTTTAGCCTCCTCACTGTTGTCATCCCGGCTCTATCGCGCCGCCCGCCCACCCGTCCGCACCCACAGCCCGGACCGAGCAGCGGGCACGGATCTCCGACCCCGGCGGCCATCATTACGGAGGTCCCCGGGGCGGTGGAGCGGTGCCGTTTGCTCGGACCACTGAGCTGCGAAGTCTGCTTACCTTAATGGACACTGAAAGGCTCAATGCGGTCTGCTCGCTCACCTGCAAAAGAGAACATTAGTTAATGGAGCATTGGGGTATGAGTCATCTCTAAGGTTCTGCTATTTTCATGAACGAGGAAAGCAGTCCATTAGCGCCTTTCTGCATCCATTCAAAGGGGCGACGCAGCGATCAGCGGAATACGAAATTACTCTGTCGACGCGCATTAGCAGCGTTTTTTGTGTCCGCAGGCGGCGCGCGTGGTGCAGGCCTCCCACTACGAGCTGGAGTACATCCTCGGCCGCAAGATCATCTTCATCTGCATGGCCCGAGGCAACCCGCGCCCTCGCATCACCTGGTATAAGGACGGGGTCGAACTGTACGCCCACAACTACTTCCAGGTAAGGTCTCTCGTGGTCTGGCAAATTCAATCATCTAGACTTTACGAAAATAAGCTATAAACAAAAATTGAAGATAGTAAAACTGACCCACGCCGATAGAGTGTGAAAACTACACCTATGGTCCTATGAAGATATTCAATGACCCAAACTCACTCAGCCAAGCAAAGTGCGAGTCTTTCTGTTAGCGGCAGTTCTAGAGGGCTTACTGAGTCGCGCGCCTTTCCCTAAATACATACACGGAGAACGGGGAAGGCCCAAATCCGTCCCAATCGCAATGGACCAAATGCACTGAGCTCCTACATCATTTCCTTCGTCTGGCTCCTGCCCAGCGAGTCCCCCGCCTGCCTCTCCCTCTCCCTCCGCCCGTCTCCCTTCTGCCACAGGAGGTTCGCCAAAAGCATCGGCAGACAGGGCATTCCCTCGCGTTTCTGCCTGTGTGTGCATCCTGTTTCTCGCATCACTTTGCTTTCATATCTGCTGTACCTACGTCTATTCCTCGATCAATTTCAATCTCGTGTGTGTGTGTGCGAGAGAGAGAGAGAGAGAGAGAGAGAGAGAGAGAGAG